AGGTGCTCCTACACATCTTTATGAAGAGCTATGGGAGAGTTATCGAGCATCGTTTGAGAGCAATAACGCGGGTTTATATGAACTAATTTGGTTTCATGCCCGGAAGGTCAACCAGAGAAGCTATTTTCTTAATAAGACAAGTTATGGAGCGGTATAGGGAGAAGAAGGACCTACACATGGTTTTTATTGACTTTTAGAAGGTTTATGACAAAATACCAAGAAATGTTATGTGGTGGGTTTTAGACAAACATAAAGTCCCAACGAAGTATGTGGGGCTCAGTAAGGAGACGTATAACAATGTTGTGACTAGAGTTCGAACAAGTGATGGAGACACGGATGACTTCTTGATTAGGATATGACTACATCAAGGGTCAGCTTTGAACTCTTATTTGTTTGCCTTAGTGATGGATGAGGTCACAAGGGACATACAAGGGGATATCCCTTGGTGTATGCTTTTCGCGGATGATGTAGTGCTAGTTGATGAAAGCTGGACAGGAGTGAATCAGAAACTGGAGTTATGGCGGGAGACTTTGGAGTTCAAAGGTTTTAGACTTAGTAGAACTAAAATTTGAGTATATGAGATGTGACTTGGGCACTACTACTCGGGAGACAGAAGATATTAGTTTGGAAGGTCAAGTAATGCCTAGGAATGATATATTTCGATATTTAGGATCAATGCTACGAGAGAGATGGTGATATTGATGAAGATGTTAGCCATAGAATCAAGCGAGGTGGATGAAGTGACTAACAAGCATCTGGTGGTGTTCTATGTGACAAAAGGGTATCACGAAGCTAAAAGGTAAGTTTTATAGGGGCTGACGATTAGACCTGCTATGTTGTATGGTGCGAGAATGTTGGCATCTGAAAAGGCGATATATTCAGCGAGATAAGTGTCGCTGAAATGCGTATGTTGCGTTGGATTTTGCGGTCATACAAGAAGGGATCGAGTTGAACGATGATATCGTGATAGATTATGGGTAGCACCAATTAAAGAAAAGCTTATCCAACACCGATTGAGATGGTTTGGACATGTTCAACGGAGACCTCCTGAGGCACCGGTGTGTAGTGGAATCCTAAGTCAGGATGAGTCAGAGGAAGATCGAAGTTGACTTAGGAAGATGCAATAAAATGAGACTCGAAAGGATGGAATATACTAAAGACTTAGCCTTAGATAGGAGTGCTTAGAAGACAGCTATTTATGTGTCTGAACCTTGATTGCTTCTGTTGGGTTTCAACTCTAGCCTATTCCAACTTGTTTGGGACTTAAAAGCTTTGTTGTTGTTGTTGTTGAAGCAAAGAGGTGGTAGGTGTTTATTTTTGGGGGTGCAGAGTAGGTGTTTGTTTTTGGGGGGCAGAAAAGATGATTGTTTAAGAGCTGTGTGAGGTTGTAGGAATTACGGAATTAATAATAACACGACTTGATTAGCATAAGAAAACATTTGCTTTTGTCAAGCTTGTTTTGTGTATGGTTCATATTGTTTGCCTCCAACATGTACAGATCTGTGGTTTAACTTTTTTAGATGGTTGCTTCTGTTGTGATTGAGCATTTAACTTGCGAGTTATGCTAAAATTTGAAATGCTTTGGTCTGTGATGGACATGTCTGTATTCTTAAGCAAATGAATTAACTTATGAGATGTTGCCACTTGATGATCACCCTGTTCGTTTATGCTGAAATTTGACTTATGCTGAAATGTTGTGAGAGTAAGACACTGTTCTATAGCTTTTCCATGGCTGGAATAGTGGAATGTGGTGTAACGGTCTGAGTGTTCTGCGCAATGGTTGGCCCTGGTGCCGGTGTTAAAAAGTCCAGGTGTCTTTTCGACCTGCAAATGCGTATACAGCTCAACACATACGTTTTACACACGATAGAAGTTTGTTTTACACTTCTGTTACGCAAGCGTTCATTTTCTTAATTTTCGGCCTCGGGGCAACATGGAAAGGCGAGTAGAAGACTTCCGTAGCTGAAGCAAAGCGATCTTGTCGCAGAAAAATGCACCAAATATTGTTTTTGATGCGTCATTTGCTCATTGTAGAACCATATTTCGTCCTGAATTTCAAGGAATTGACTCGAAACTATCCACCGAGTTGTATACGGAAGAGAGCACCTCCTGTATTAGTGTATTTCTAGTAGTGCATAAATCGCTGTAAACAAGTTATAATCAAAATTTAATCATCAACAAGGACCAGACTGTTTTTGAAATGGTGAAGATTACGAAGGCGGGAGGCCAACTGATGTTGCATCTGCTAGAGGACCATTACGAACATGAAGCAGTGGAGACTCAATTTGAGGAATCAGAACTACAACTCTACAAGGCCACAACACCCATTACCGTGAATCCGTGATATATGTGTCATCCTCTCTCTTGCCAGAATGATTGGTGCCTCCACTCCACTAGTCTTGCCAGCCTTATAAATTTTTTGGTGCGAGGAGACGACGACTCCATGCTCCACGTCAACTCCGGGTCTCCGCCTCAGAGGGGCTCACGGGCAGCTTGCCTGAGCCCCTCTCCGCCTCTCGGGCGGCGTCCTACGCTCGCCGGCCGCCCGGCCGCCAGGGCTAGCACCGCGGCAGGCTGGCAGCCGGCAGGTTTGCCCAGTGACCAGTGTCCTTCCTCTGGCCTCTCTGTCTCAGGTTTCATTCCTCGCTTTGGTCTGCTGCATCTTCTGCTAATTTTGCTCGTTCGGCGTATTTTGGACTCGATAGGTACTTCCTTTCACATTCACAGTACACAGCAGTCCGATTATTTTGTAGGAAAAAGGTTGGAATCTGTCACTTATAGATCTGACCATCTGCTTATAAGAAAATTAAAGGAGATCACTGATCAAGTGATGTACAGATTTAGGATGACGAATTTCTTGGTGTTGGGCAACAGGCTTGCTGAGAAGAAAAAAAAAGTGAGGTATTGTTGGCTTATTGTACTCTACCTTGTGTACTCTTCGTGTACTGCTTTCTTACAAGAGAGGTAAGGGTCTGATGCGCATCAGAACTTAATGAAACTGAAAAGATCAAGAAGCACTGGATTAGGATTTATGATCGCCGCGCGCGCCGAAGTTTGACTAGACTTTTCTTTTTTAATTTAGATTTGAGAGGAAAGCTCGACTTGACTAGAAGAGCTCAATGATCCCAATCTCGGAATGTAGTTAGTGAACCCTGGACCCCTGTAGTGCAACAAAACTCCCTTTCTAGTTTTCTTTTCCCTTTTTTCTTCTCATCTACTAGTAGAATACAGTGGCATCACAAAACTAAAGATTTGAGCTGTGTTTTTTTTTAACATGTGTAGATTCGAAAAGATGGGCAAAATCCTGCGTACCGCTGCTGAATGTTGATTACTGCATCCACTGTCCCAATGGAAATTTATCGATCTCTTAGGAACCATGACCTTTTTTTTAACTAAACTGCAGGAGCACTACCATATCATTTAAGGAGAAGAAGCAAAACAGAGTTTTACAAAAGTTGTTACATAATAATAGATAGAACTTGACACATATTCTCAGTAAAGCAAGCCATTATTAGTCTACCCAAGGATGTCCACATGCACGCCTCCTGAGATGAATCTCCTCCTTTATCAAACGGGCATTGGAGGCAAAGATGTGTCGCCGATTCAGGTTCTTGACCACATAAACTGATAAACACAGGGTTGCAGGGCCAATTCCGCTTGGCCAAACTGTCGCCAGTTAGAATCTTTGCTTGAACATGGAGCCATGCTTTCCTTCAGCATGCGCCTTCCAGATAGATTTTGCATTGAATGTGCAGTGGGATCCCCTGAATTGGATTAAATATGCCGATTTAGCACTTATATTCTCCATTTGCTGTCCATTTCCATTCAATTTTGTCTCCCTGGTTAGATAGCTGAACCTGCTGAACAAGGTCCCAAAGATGAATAAATTCTGCCATTTGCTGTACTGATTCCATTCTCCAAAGTCCAAAGACCCCTTGTCCAGTTATGGTTGGTCACATCATCCCTGACTGATCTCTTCTTTCTCCATGCAAGTGGATACAGACTTGGAGCCAGATCCTTTGGGGCTTTACCATTCTAGCCAAGAACTGTGCTATAGCATTTCTGAAACCTTAATATCTGCCTAATTAATACATGCACGATTACCTTTTTCATATATATGCTCGGAGAGAATGAAGATAATTAAGCTGATCCATGCTTCTTTGTTTGGCTCTGAATGGTTGAATTTGTTTCAAGTGTGTTGCCGGACCTCTCTTTAGCGTAAATTGCCAATGTGCCATATACTGATACACGTATATATGTTTCATTTAGAGTCTACTAGGGGTCATTATTAGCAAAACCATATGTGCTTTTTTTTTTGCCTTAATGATAACTGGGCCTTAAAGAGCTAGTAAAACAATGGCAAACAATGACAATCATTTGAAAAAGTGCGGTTTAGGTATCTTAAGTATTTAAGAATGAGTGGAAAATGTATGGATTTTTTTTCAAGAAAGGCAATTCAAATAGTAGCTAGTAATGAGGTTCCCAGTTTATTTTAAATCGCATAGGAATCGTTGTTTCACCAAGCATATGAACCTCTCTAGATCACTCCTAGCTAGTACGGATTACATAAGAAGATAAGAGTAATATGATACTACTGAAATGTTGACATGATGTGCTATTATACTGTCAATGACTTAGAGAGAACAATTTGAATTGTGCTTCTGGACAGTGACACTGATACACAATAAAATCTTGGCTTCTATTTCTGTCCATAGCTCAAATATTCTCCTTTGACCAAGTTCCGGACAAACTGTGTTTATGCTAAACTACACCTTGAAGAGACCGGTAAAACTGACGAGCTTATCCAACCACCAAACTTCTCCATGTTACCTCTCCAAAGTTCAATCCTCCTTACGTCAGAGTTCACCATAAATTGACTGTCGGAAGCCCGGAGGCATTTCCCCCGTCCAAGTTCCCACTGCCTCATTCCCCTCGCTTAGAGCCTCTCAGACCAGCACGATTCACGAATCCACGACAACAAGAAACCACGCCCCCCACCCATGGCGGCCACAGCTCGGAACATCGCCTGCTTCGCCCTGCTCGTGTCGATCATGGCTCTCCAAGTTCCGTCCTGCATCGACCAGCGGGGTACTACTAGTGCGGGCACCACTACCACGGCATCCCCGTCCGCTCCGCCTCCCCTCTTCGACGACAGCGCTCTGAAGGCGGCCATCCTGGCGCTGGCCGGGATGGATGCCGTCCTCATCGCCGCGGCGGTCATCTACACTCTACAGCCGCCACACGCACCACGCCGCCGGCGCCGTCGGCGCGTCTCGGAGCTCGCCTTCTTCGTGTTGTGCCTGCAGGTTGGCGTCCTCCAGTTCGTCCTGTTCGTCCAGCAGCCCGCAGCGGCAGCTGACCACGCAGCTCGTGCGCTCGGGACCAGTGCTGCCCGTGCTTTGCCCTGCGTTGCCTCCGTCACCTTCTTTCTGGGCATCACCCTCGTCTATGCGCACGTGGGCAACGGCGGCGGAGGTGCTGTCGCTGGCAACGGGCCTGTCCCGGCGCCCGCCACGGCCACCATCAGGCTCCTCGCCGATATGACGCTCGGGGCTGCATCAGCCTGCCTGATGAGCATCATCCTCGCCTTGCTCTACATCAACACCAAGTGAGTTCATTTACTTAGATCGATATTATGAACATACCTACTGTCGTTCTCTCTATTCCTGGGATTTGGGCTCCTCAAAACAAGAGATTTCAATGGGAATTCTGAAGCGGGGACCCTACCCATCCGCTTGAGGAAGGGGCCGCGATTCGTACTCCTGGGCTCGACAGATTTAAGAGAGACGGTGTGGTTTCAATTCTTTGGGGGGCAGGAGAAGTGGAGATCAGCTGCACAGGCCGGAGGGAGTTGGAGCCTGGAGGTGGTGGTGCACTGATATGGCCGATGCATGCAGCTACTCGCCAGTCGCCAAAGGCCCGCAGCCGATCGAGCTGTTGCTACAGCGACGCCCTGATCGATGCTGATTGACGAGGGTTGCGTTCTAGCCAACATGAACATCAACCGGGATACCTGCAGTGCAGGTTGAGGTTGGGTGAAGGATAGGTCATAGCCTCATAGGTGACGGCCTAAATCTCAGTGACTTGAGGAGTTGAGGTGGGGAGCGCCGACCGCCGGACATGGGGATCGGGATGTACTAGATTGTTTCCTCCTGGCTTGTGTCCTGCGACCGTGTGAGCCGCGTGCTTTCCTACGGCGTTGGGTCACGGACTCACGAGCGCGACGGCGACGCGCACTCTACGACCGACAGGATGGTGACGGCCGAACTTGCCGGACGCACTTCAGCTGTTGAGCAGCCGGCAGCACCGCCGCGTGGTCCTGGGCTTGGCCGGCCGCTTGGGGACGGACGGACTTCTGATTGTTCTTGGCATACGTTGGAGGAGCCACTTATCGAAGAGGGCGATTACATCTTACAGTAGCTGAATCTGTTTCCTCTTTGCAATGTTCGGCTGTTTTGGTATTATTTACATGCTGAGAAATTCCCTGAATGTTCGTTATCAATTTTTCTGTGTGCAGGTGACAATTGAGGCGTAGCATATCCTTTGAGCAACCAGAACCAGATTACTGCCATTTCCGGGAACAAAAATTGGCTGTTGGCGCACACATAACATTGTTGCTGTAGTAAAAGAACATGCATTCACACTGGACTTCGTTTGCTAGTACTTGTAAGGAGGTGTGATCGATCATATATCTGGTGCTATAGCTTCAGCTCGATGTTCAGCTTTTTGTAGCCCAATTGCCTTCTTATGTGTCGATCTAGTTTTTGTTAATTTTACTCGGTGTTGGTGAGATCAGTGTTAGCAAATGTTATTGTGAACCAGTTGATGGAATATGGATTATTGATCTACCCATTCACGGGCCATCATGGGATTGTTGGATGTACCCAAATGCTTCATGATAATAAAAATCTCCTGAAAAATTAAATGGCGGATTCGGTTGCGGACGAATAAAGGTTCTTCTTCCCATTTGCTTTCTGTCTCTGTCTCATGCGTCAAACAAATCCTACTAGTATACAGTAACAAGCAAGGCCACTGACGAACTGTCCCTGGATTTGGGATGTGCGTCATCGATCCTCGCTCTTTGCGTGGACAACAGCAGCAGTGGAATTATTGCAAAACGCCCGCCGAATTAGACCGAGCGAGTCACTTTTCCATGGCTGCTTATCGCGGGGGCACGTCAGCCCCCACTCGTCATGTCGGACTTTGGGCAACGTCGAATGCAACGCGCGGAAGGGTGGCAGGCTCCGGCGTCCCTTTTCCGTGTGCGGGAGAGAGGGGCAGAGGGAGACCAGGGAGGCGATGCGTTCTACTGCCCTTTTTGGCGTATCTCCAAGGGGAGCGATTCATCGGTTCATCCTCGACCTCCAAGGCTCCAACTTTCTAACACTTCCTCTCTTCTACCGTTCTACTCCCTCCGTTCTTTTTTTCTAAAAAAGTATCACTATAAAATCCCTCAATTTGACTAGGTTTGTAAAAAAAATATTTGCAAAATTTATATCCCCAAATACGTTTTTATGAGAATATATCTAACGATGTATCTAATGATACTAATTATGCACCATAAATATTAATATTTTTCTTATATATGTTTCTATCAAGGTTGAAAAACGTTTGAATGATATTTTTTTTGGGGACGAAAGGGCATTTAAAGCCTGATTAGTTACAGGGCCAAACAGCGGTCCTAAACGTCGATTTTCAATAGTTCGGCAGGTGATATCAATTCTTGACGGGGGCGCTGTTTGCCAGGTCACTAATCGAGCACGCCCTTAAAAATAAAGCAGGCTCTCAACTTCTAGTTCCAGCCCCTCCTCTCTTATATGGTCTAAAATGAAGGTCTTCATATCTTCTATACTACGTTTAAAATTGAGCATAGGCTCAAAGAGAAATTCAACAGGGTGCAATGGGTGGACGGCTCGAGTTCATTCCGCCCCACTGCTAGGATCCACTCTAGGACACATGGGCCTGAAAAGATCTTGGCTGGATGCTGCCGTGGTCCATAACATCGGAGATGATCAGCTTAATGAATGCGCGTCCTTCCTAATTGGCGTGTCATGTCTGGCTTCATGTACTGTGGGCCGTCTCAATTTCTTTTCGTGCACAGTAGAAACAATGTTCATGCTTGTTTTTCATTTATTATAAGCATTAGCTCCTGTCAACCCACGTCGAGCCACTCGACTAGTTCACGCGGTGCCATTCCGCGACAAACTCTATCACACTCATGTTTTCTTAGGAGTTTGTCTGTCTATCCGTCATTCGTGTGTTTTGACCTCCACCCCACACATGATTTTTTTGCCATTGTTCTTCTTCCTTCTCCAGCCGCCTTTGCGCCGTTCTGCTCGTCCCCCCCTCCCCGGCCCCCTTCGCCAGAGCTCCGCCCTAGCCATCCTCACCGATGACGCAGTGACACCCCCGCCCCTCCCTGGCCTGGTCGCCTCCACCATGGCCAGGGCACCTAAACCGTCCGGCCACCATCCCCACCACATGGCCTGCCTCTACCTCCCTTGGCCGGCCCCTTCTATACTCGTTGAAGTTGGAGAAGAAAGAGGGGGAGAGGCTTGCCTGAACCCTAGCCGCCACGCCGGAGCTGGGGAAGAAGACGACGGCCGCTGGCGAGGAAGAAGACGGTAGGCGTGAGCGAGGAGTAGACGGCGTCGTGGGCACAAATCGGACGCCCTCCACCGTCGTCCCTGTGCTCATCGGACGCCCCAGAAATCGCGTGTGAAATCCCCCAAAAAATGTGCGAACACAAGGTTGACAAGTACCCTTGTGTGTTCGTTTTGTGATGAGTGATTGTCAATGTGATCCACGAAGTGGGTTGAGTGGTGACTAACCCTACCATGGTGAAAGCTATGTGTGCGACATGTCTTTTGGCTTGTGTTGTGTAGGTGTGGAGCTCGGATGCGGTGGTCGACGACGAGGTGAAGGTCAAGGAGGACGTGCCGTGCCGACAGACCAGGAGCGGTGAAGGACGGACGTGAGGCTTGGACCGAGGGACCCAGAGGCCGGGTGACTAGCCGCGGTGGCTGACACTTGGGACATCGACAAGTGCAAGAAGACATGGAGTGACGGTGTTGACCGGGTCAAGACGGCGGACGCGTGAGTCGAGCGAGGCTCAGGAGGACTTGGCGGGCCGACCGGTCGAGGATGGCGGTGACACGCGTCGAATGGCGGGGGACGCGTATGGAGTACGCTACCCGCGCACGGTTTGATGGTTTGGGTCTCAAAACCATCGGATGGACGGTTTACGGGTTTGGGCCTCAAAACCCGGGCGGAGGTTCCGAGAGGGACGGACGGCACGTGGCGGCATCGGGGAGTTCGCGTCGAGGCGAAGCTACCGGTGAGTAGGCGCGGTGGCCATCGGATCAAGATTGCACTGGGTTGGACAACAACGCCCTTGGGCTTAGCGGTTCAACTCATTTGTATCCAGGGGCAAAATTAGGAATGTGTAATAGCCCTGTTAAATAGGACGAGGGAGCCCCCATCTCCCTGACCTCTCCCATTTTTCGTTTTCCCCTTCTAGCTAGGGTTTCCTTCTCTTTGCTGTTCTTGAGTGAGAGGTCCACAGATGAACCACGAATTGATCTGTGTAATCTGAGTTTTTGGCTGGGAAGTGAGGCCCTAACCTCACCATGACCTCCGGGCTTTGGAAGTTTGAATCATTTTTGGTGTGCTCGTGTTCCTGTGTATGTTCTCCTGGTTTTCCTTTTTTTTCTCTCGTATGTTCGATCTGTTGGTTCTGATGCTTTGGAGCATTTTTGTTTGGCTTGACTGATGCTCTGACGAGTGATGAACAATCCTACCAATTGAAATTCATCAATTCCACTCGTGCATCAAATTTCAAGCAGATTTCGTTTTTGGGGGAAAGCTGTGTTCTTGCACGAGATGGGGATTTCCCAGAGTTTGAGTTGGAATTGGGCAATAATTTTTTTCGGGATAGCTTCTCAACTCAGTTGTGATCCTCTCAGCAAGATTTGAGAACGACTCGTTCAGTTTCATTCGAGTTCGGGTCGTTTTTGTGGCCGTCTCTTCCAGTCTGTGTACTACGTTCTTTCTCTGTTCGTTTGCTCAGGTTCCTGTTCGTTCTTCACTGTTCCGGTGATTTGATTTTGCTCGGTCAGGTCCAGCTCTCAGCTGTCGTGGTGCATCAGGCCTCCAGATCGAGACTACCGGATCCCTCACCGGTCACCACCAGCAGGAGGTCAGTTTAGCCTGGAGCTCTTGTCCAGAAAAACAAGCTTCAGTACGTAAATTCATTTTCTTGCATCCGTGAATTATAGCCAACATTTATGAGCTAATCTCTGGAATATCTATTTTCCCTTGGAAAGAATTCATGGATGTGAGATTGCTGTTCAGTGCCTGATCTCTCTCTACAGTGATTCATTCTCTGAATTTTTGATCACCAAAGCAGTTCGCAATTAGTGTTGAACGGCAAGTGCAGCGGCCTATGCTTCGCCTTATGCTTAATTTTTTTATTGGTCATTAGCTTTGTTCTTGCTTCTGTGAAATGAACTAAGCAATCATGAGCTCCTCATTAGAGCATTAAATTGTGGCAATTGTTTGGTGTACATCTCACGACTTGCAAAGCCACTGCTAGTTGCTGTACTATCTCCAG